CCACTGAATTTCTTGGTGGTTTTGAACTGTCAATAACAAATGATGCAAATATCATCCTGCCCTAGGATTGCTGTCAGTTGACATTTCATCCCCTTTCACCCTTTTCTGCTCCCTCCACATATTTCTCTGCCCTTCATGACTGTTTTTCCTTTGCCACTCTCACTTCCCTCCCATCACTGCTGACCAGGAAGCTGCCTTTGTCATTACCTTGTATAGGAAATTCTCTTTCAGACACCTCTCCCAAATCTGTTTCTTCAGCTAGGACAGAGTGGCATCAGTCAAAGTGGCTAAACACATGTAATTGGGGGAGTTGGTAGCTGAAGAGGGAAACATTTGCTTCAGATAGCATCTTGCAGTCAAAATAAACAGCTTCCATTTAACATTGATATAGGAAATCTAGTGACACCAACTATCCCTTTCCATACCCACTACCATCTCCTGTTTGGGTCTTATCGAGCTAAAAAGCTTTGGAAGATGGAATTTACAGAATTCACTAGCCTACAAGTAAGCTCCTCTGAAATCAAACAGATGTTTATACAAGATGCTAAATATTCAAGGTCAAACTGCTGACTCCTGCTGGGTTTCACCGGCTACTTATTTAAACTCTACTTATGTGAAAGTTTTGCTACATTATCATTGGGGTGTTATTCAAAAGATCTGTTAAATTGTTTTATAACCATACCTAGACAGGGAAGAAATCTAGGTATTTAGACACTGTTTATACCTCAGTTTAGCAGCTAATTCATTTCAAAGGATGGTCACTTTGGGGAAGATTTGGAGGGTAGTAGACTCTTCCCTCAAAGTAGACTGCAAGCAAGCTGTTGCAAGAGCACCACTTCCCCTTCTAGACATGCCTGACCTATCTTTGCAACAGAAGGGGGGAAAGTTTTAAGATTAAGAACTAAGTTTTGTTTAACATTTTTATGCAAAAGACTCATGCAGTGATACAGTATTTGTGACCTCCACATTCCTATGAAATAATAATACAGCAGTATGGTTGATACCAGAAAATATCAGGCCATCATACCTTCCTAAGCAGCAGTTCTTCTGCCTTTATTTCTAGGACAAGGTAAAAGATAAAGGACCCCTGGACAGTTAAGTCAGGTCAAAGGCGACTATGGGGTTATGGCGCTCATCTCGCTTTCAGGCTGAGGGAGCTGGCGTTTGTCCACAGACAGCTTTCTGGGTCATGTGGCCAGCAGGACTAAACCGCTTCGAGCGCAACAGAACACCGTGACGGAAACCAGAGCACACGGAAATGCTGTTTGCCTTCCCGCCACAGAGTTACCTGTTTATCTACTTGCGCTCGTGTGCTTTCAAACTGCTAGGTTGGCAGGAGGTGGGACAGAGCAGCAGGAGCTCACTCCGTTGCGGGGATTCGAACCGCCGACCTTCTGATCTGCAGAGGCTCAGTGGTTTAGACTACAGCGCCACTCTGCTGCAACAAAACATTGCAGTGTGGAGTGCTCCTGTTCAGTATGGCAGCCAGCCATGGTACTTCCAGGTACTCCATTCTATTTCCCTTGTCCCCTAGATTTTCTGTTCCCTCCACAATAGTTGGGTCAATGTTCTGTTGAGAATGTTCAATTCTTGTTAGGCTGTTTTTAGATCCACCTGGGCTTTTTCTAAAGAGCTTTTGAACTTCTGCAGATCTTAGGTTGCTTCCTGCTGAAACCTCTCTCTTACATGTGGTTGCTTCTGCTTTGGTTACATAAGGATTCACACTCAGAATGAGTAAGCTATTAGTCTAGGAGATAATTGTTCTCAATCACAGGATTGGCTTTTATTCATTAGGCTACAAATAAGTACTTGTTTTTTCTGGATTTTGTATCTGTACTATGTGAGAAGCATTATGTCAACCAATATTTCATTTAAAACATCTGCCTGTGAGGCTTTAAAATTAAGATAAAATAAATTCACAGGTATCTGTAAATTTATTGATAGGAATTGGTGTTTTTTCAAGCATGGGTAGCTATACTTTATAGCAGTTTTTAGATCATTCCTTTCTTTTTTGGACATCCAATGTGAGAAGGAAAACAGACCCGTATAGATGACTCTGTCATGAACAGCAAAGTTGAATTGCTGAATTGTGTCCTCCAAACACTTCCTAAGAAATATTGATGTCTGCATGTGAATATGTGGCACAGATGGGGGGCTTGCAACACACACGCGTGCATCGGGGTGGGATAAAAAAAAACTTCTATTCAATATTTGAGTAATAAATACTTTATAGTTTTAGGATTCTTTCATGGACAACTTTAGGACATGAGAAAAATTAAAATGTGGGGAAGATTTGGTCACAATTGTAGCCCAGGGAAAAGGTGATTCACTGTAGGAGTTTTGTACCCCCAAAGGCTTCAGAATCCCCAAAGATTTTGTAAATGTGAGATTCACCTTCAGCCCCACAGTCACATGTTTATTACAGGACAATTGTGTTTACCTAAATATAAAACCATTTGAAAACTTCCAAGCCTAAATGTACAGTAATTTGCAAGCCTTAATTTGATGTAGACATTTTAGAACTATACAGTTCTTAATTAAAACTGTGCATGCATTTTTCCTAGATGAACACTTTATTTGGTGTAATTGACTTTTAAAAAATAGTGTGTATGTAAATGAGCCTATTGATTCTTCTTCATGGCTTCTGTAGCTAGTTTGAGGTATTTGTGGTGTTTTCTATTAAATTACCATAGCACAGCTCTGAGTACTCCTTTATATACACAACACATCCATTAGTTTCTATTTGCATTATTAGGTGCTGAAGGTCTGCTAATGTATCCATTAATAGCTATGAACATATTAGACAAAGCTTTTTTAAAAATTAAATGTCTGCATGTTGTCTTACTCCTTATAGACACTGCAAAACCTGCACAGAAGGTCATGAATTAAAGGAAAATTAGCCATTTGCAAAAGCTTTTGGACAATGGCAAATGCAACCCAAAGGCTTAATACACCCCACAAACCCGTATCAAAAACCCAGCTAAAAAATGGACAGTAAAATAAATTAAGAGAACAAAAAGTATCCAGCTATATCTTTTGACAGAGGTACTTATAAATAGAATGCATGATTGTTCATTACCAGAATTGATACAAGTCACACCAAAATCATGAATTACACCCCACAGGTGCTTTCTATGGTTGTTGCCCCATGGTCAGATGAAGCCTGAGCAAGAGGCCATTGGTACAACTAGCTCAGCAATGTGTTTTGCCCTGACTAGCAGTGGATCTCCAGGATGTCTTCCACAGCTCTGCTGCCTGAAACCATTTTAACCAGAGGTGCCACAAATTCCACTTTCAGAATGAAAAGCATGTGCTTCAGCACTAAGCTACAGCATCTCTTCAAATATAGGATCTTTGCTCTGCACAATGTCAGCTGGGACATGGCATGCCTGGTCCTAGTCTGTGTGTAATTCAATATCTATGGGGAAGAGGGGAGACTCCATTTCAAATCCAGTTTGTGTTCATATTACTCTTTCTTAGAGAAAGCCAGCAGGATCTGTCTGAAAAAAACAACTATTTGACCTTCTCTCTACAGTTTCATGTCCCCTTGCAAAATATCACTGGGATCCAAGTGTTGCTGCTCAAGAACACCATTGTTTTATGATCTAGCAAATATTTAATTAATCTTTACTACACACACAGACTCACAGCTTTACATATTAAACTTGCTAATGTGGTACGAAATCTGTGAATAGTATATAATGGGGAGTAATCAAAAAGAGCCAAGCCAGGGCTCTCCCTCTACACATCTCATTCATTCCTTTGCGAGCCTGGCACCATTTTCCATTTTAAGATACGTGCTGAGCTTTCTGCTTCCAGTAAGCAACAAAATTTGTTTTCTGTGCCCAGTAAGTCATCTCGTGTTTGTCATCAAATTGGCTGCTCTTCATGTATACAACCATTTTCCAAGTATCTTTTCATTGTTTGCATTCTCTACCCACACAAATATATTTTCATTTTTTTGTCTTGTCTATCCACACAAACATGCACTCAGGAATAAAACATTCATGATAGCGGATGGGGGAAAACAACAGCAACCATAGTTTTAACACACATCCATACACCCGTCCACTTAAGACCTCAGAAAAGTGAAGCAACTTTTCCCATTCAATCTTCCTCTTCATTTCCCCCCACTGCTTCCAAAAAGCAGCTGCATGACATTTCACCAGCCCCCACTGACGTCAGTGTGTGTTTGGCTGGTGACATCAGAGGGAGCAGAATCTGTCCCTAGATTAGCACAGGAGCATCTTTCACCCCATCAGCAAAGAGACCAATTTTTCAATGTCTATTGTCTGTCTTGTTCACATTCACATTAATAAGCCGGACACAAAACCCATTTTCTCTTGCTTCCAAATGCTGGCATGGGGAAGAAGGAATCTTCCTCCTGCTCTGCAATAAGAGATACCTTGCATGCGTGTCTTGATATGAGTCACCTCAGTTTAATAAAGAAATGCAATTGCTAAAGTGAAGGCTGAACCTGGAGCATCATATCTGGCCTTTGGGTTGGAAATCAGATAAAAGAAAATGCCATTCAGCTGAATCAAAAAACCCATCATACAAGCCTTCAGTCAAGTGGCTGTAGTAATGAATACCTCTTCACTTTGTTGAGAAAAATGGTAGGGAACTCAGTAGAGAAATCTGACTACAAAATATTGCTCAGGCAGTTACTTGGGTGACTATCAAAAGATGTCTACTTAAAATGGATTGCAATATTGGGTCTTTGTTATAAGGTTCAATCTCCTCCTGGTGTGTTATGCCCTTGTATCTGCCCTTGTTCTGAAGTGCTGGCTTCACTCACGTGGTGCCAGCTTTAGAAGGCACGTGGCTTCCCTTACCTGCCCTTAAGTGGAGAGGCCCTGCATGGTTTTGCAGCACATGAAATGCAACCAGGAACTGGTGAACAGCACCAAGTTAGAAACCCTCTTAGAGTTTGTGTAAATAAGGTATTCTGAGCGCTGGTTGTTTGGCTTACCCTTGCATATCTGGAGGAATAGGGATCCTCAAATAGTGCCCAGATACGGGGCTGCCACCTCTTCCAAAAGCCCCCAGGCCTTCCATCTGGAGAATCACTGAGTGCCAGGCGTTTAGTCATCTCCAGCTCCTCCTCACCATCACCTGAGTCTCCAGTGCCATCTGCATCTCCATCATCAGCACTATTATCCAGAGGTGCCCCACCAAAACTGTCAAGGGCCTCTTCAGCATCACGGTGCTGCCTGTAGGTCATCCAGCAACAGGGCTCCACATCGGTTTCATCGATGCCCCAGAAGGCCAGCTCCTCCTCATATAGAGGTCCACAGACATCTGCTGGGCAGTGCAGCTTACCTGTGCGGTAGTAGTTCAGGATATGGGCAAAGACACCTGGGTGCCGGTCAAAGAAGAACTCATCTGTGCGGGGGTCATAGTCAAAGTGACTGTGGGCATCCGGCTCCGCGATCCAGGCCAACCGAGTGCCGGGCAAGGTGCGTAAGGTGCTGCGGTAAGTCTGATGCCTAGTCCCTCCCACATTGATCACAATGCGATCGCTCTCATCGCCCTGGCCCATCTCGTCTCTTATTAGGCATGTCGTGGACTCATCCAAACAAGCACAACACACAACAAGCACATAAGGGGGCGTCTGCTCATCTGCAATCAATAACTAACTTGATACCTCTCCTATGTGGGGAAGAGGTGCCCCTATCAAGGGCATCCACTGGTCTTGGCCTCTTATACCCTTCACTCCCACAGAGGCAAAGTCAAGAGTACCAGTGAAAGTTAATGATGGCAGATTTGGGTTCTTTACTGCCAAATTAAGACTCATACAAGCCTCATTTAAAATAAGAATATGCCGGATATCCAAGAACAGTGATTGTGAGATATGGTTGGGTAGGCAGGGGTGAGTGTCAGAGTGGGGAAGGGGGGGTTGCTTCCTCAATTAAGATGTATCAGTCAATAAATCTAGTTGGACATAGCTGACCTACAAAGCAGGTTCAGTGGGGAAGATTGGTGGTGGCAGGGGCATGCAACAAGAGGCTGGAGGCAGTGGAGTAAGGGGTCCACAACACAACACACACATACACATACAAAAATAAGGTGGGAGGAAGAAAGTGGGCAGATACCAATGCCCAGCTGCAGCAATCAAACCCAATCTCTTGAAGATGCTGATGTTTGTAAAACAAAAATCGTTCTGTACTGGCGTCCTAGGAGCAGAGGCAGGAGCAAGAGGTGGCTGCTAGGAAGAGCTCAACACGTAGCAATCCTATTATTTAGGCAGGTTTGTGAAAAACCACAACCAGCAACTAAATGGATGGTGATAACGACGAAGCAATAACAAATCAGCAATGGAATATATAGATAGCTGACAATTCTCCAGATGTAGCTCTCCGATTCAAACAAAAGACCACCAAATCCGCACGCGTCGCCTTCAATCTTCGCTTCCTCTTCGGCTCCCTCCTTGTTGATGCCGATCACACTTTGCAGCCGCCCGAAAGGCGCCTTCGGCCCCTGAGCTTTGGCCGGATCGCCCCCCACCTTCCCCGCCACAAGCGGTGACTTAGGCACGCGACGTGGGCTCGCCTTTGCTTAGGGCAGCGTGGTGCTGAAATGGACAGCGCTCCCGCAGCCCTTGACTAGTAGCGCTTCACTTGACGGGAGGCTGCCACTGGGGATGGATGGAAAGGCGGGGAGAGGGGTCGAAAGGGAGGTGGGCAGGCAAAAAGGGATCAGGAATGGCGGGGGTCTTTATTCCTCCTTCCCTACGTGTCGGGCTGAGGCGAGCAGGCGATCCAGGCAGCTTGGGGAAGCCTCAGGTGGATTGTGCTGAGGGAGGTGGACAATCAGCGCGTCTCTGTCTGCTCCTCCCTCCCTCGCGCCCGCCGCCCAAGAGCTCTCGCAGGTGGTGCTGAAGGAAGGCTGGGTGCCAGAGAACTCGCCGCCGCCGCCGCCGCCGCGCTTGCCGTTCTTCGCTGCTTCGTCCAGCCAGCCCGTCTCCGGACACTTCAGCACCGCGCAGGCGCGCTGGGCTCTGACTAGAGCAGTTCTCCCCGGGTCCTAATGCAGCGCGGGGAGGCAGCGCCTGGCAGTTACACGCGCGCCAGTGTCACCTGGAGTGGAAAGGCAGAGAGGCAGAGAGAGGCAGAGAGAGAGAGAGAGAGAGAGAGAGAGAGAGAGAGAGAGAGAGAGAGAGGCGCACAGCAAGGCGGCCAAAGGGAGGGTGCTATTTTCTCAGCCGGGAAGGAAGGGAGAGGGAGGAGGGGATCGCACCTCTGAATGGGATGTCACGCAGCTGGAGAACATCCCGGGGAGCGGTCCCGATTCGGATCTCTCCCTCGGAATGAATGGATTGGGGGGGGGGCACCGGAAAGACCCCGGGGTTGGGCAACCTGGTGCTTCTCTCTGGAAGACTTAAGAGCGAGAGGCAGCGCGCTGAGCCAGAGGGAGCCTGGGATTGCCATTGTCTACCTTGCTGCCAGCGATTAATGTGGGGACTGCAGGAGACGGCAGGGCTGGGCCTGGCGAAGGGTTTTGCTAGCTTTCCTTTGGCTTTTTATTTCGAGAAAGACATAGAAAGGACTGCCTTGAGCCTCCTTTCGACAACGTGAAAGGATGCACTCAGACAATTTGGGGAGGGGTGTGTGAGGGAGGGGGGGAAGGCAGAGGAGCGGCGGCTCCTCTCAGCCCTTTGCCATAGAAAGCAGCATCTGACATTAGCTTGGCAACCTTTGGAATGTTGCCTGTGAAAATCGCATCCCACTCTCCATCATCTCCTTTAATCAATATAGGTATTTTCAGATAGATGGGAAGGAGCGTTTTCTCTGACATTGGCTCCCTCTCATCAGAAGTGGCGATGAAGGAGGAAGACAGAAATGGCTGTTCCGCTAGTGGCCAAGAGAGAACAGGCATATTTCCTGGCTTAAAAGAGAAGCAGAGAAATCAGTTCAGACCTGCTGAAAGAAAAGATCAATGTGAATATGTTGCTTGATCTTCAGTGTTCAAACATTCAAACCATCTTCAAACATTTTCACTTCAAAATGAAAGAATTATTCTTGAGATGCCATGGGGAATTGGCAACCTGAGTTCCTAGGTATTATTCTTTATGATTTATGTTCCTAGGTCTAAAACCATTTTTTTTAAAAAAAAGCTTACTGAATTTTAATAGTGATTAAATAGAGATTTAAAACAACAAGAGAAGTTTCAAAGAGCAAGAAAAGAATGTGGAGGCTACAAATCACAGCCCAGTTATAATCTGAAAATATTGCCAATTAGGCAACCTAAGGCCAGGATCCTGAAAACAATATGCATGGGATGGAAGTAAGTTCCGCTGGGAAATCTGTGGGCCTTATTTCCAACAAATAGTTTAATGGCTAATGGGGCACCAGCCCACAATCTGAACAAATGCAACAGATCCATTTTCCTAACTGGGAGCATGTTTGTACCCTGGTCAACAAGATCTGTAGATGTTTTCAAAAAACAAAACACGCCCCTACTTTGCAAATGAAGTAGATCCATCCATTCCGCTGCATACAAAGGAATAGAGAACCTGCAACTACAACTCCCATAATCCCTGGCCATTGGGTCAAGGTTTCCAGCATCACCTGGAGTACCAAAGGTTCCCCATTTCTTCTTCAGGCTAAGGGTGTATCACTACATTTCCCCACTTCCTTGTCAATTCACTGATGCATTCATGATCAGGTTGCCTTTATTTAATATATAAAAGGACCAGGAATCATACACTATAAGGTTTATGGAAATAATGTCCCTTGTACTCTGTCATGTAATGTCAGGTACTACTGAGACACTAGCAACCTAAGTAAAGGTCTTAATATTTCAGGTAAGATTGCATAAAATTCAATTTCACACCCCATAGCAGTGAAATGGACACAATGTATTATAAACTCTGCTATATTTCTTTGCTGTGTTACTTTATTATTTCTATATAGAGCTTAACTGGGACACATAAGTGTAATCACTGAGCTTCCTAGAAAGCACTAACATTTATGATGGACGGGAGTCACAGGCTACATCTCCTCTGCATGAGACCATTTGTGATGGCCTGGGAATCTGATTCAGAGGCTGAACCAGAGGAATCCCAGCCTGCACAGGAGTCCCCGCCTCCAGGGCCGGCTGAGCTGGGGCAGGGGCTTGAACCTGACGGGCCCTTACCTGTGCCGGATCCTCAGGAGCAGACACCAGCTGAATTTGCTCTGGCTCCGGAGGTGATTGAGGACCCATTGCCTGCAGGTGCTCCTCTCCCAGCCCTGTCAGGGGAAGGTGAAGCTGTCCCTGGGTCCAGTAACCCTCCAGCCTCTCTGGAGCTACAGAGGCTCAGGGCAGAGAGGCGGAGGGAACTAAGTTCTCACAGGAGGAGTGCTCGCCTTAAGGCCAGGAGAGGCGAGTCACCTGTGGGCTGGGACTGCCCTATGCCTCAGAGGAGATAAAGGCCAGTCAGCCCAGTCCCAGGTTGCGGGAGCAACATCATTGGTAACCTGTTCCTGCCAGCACCCTGTCCTGCTCTTCTGCCAGAGTTCCTGACCATGCCCGGTTCCTTGCCTTGGACCCTGCTTCGCCCTTGACGGACAGCCTCCATACCCTCGACCTAGGACCGGACTCAGACCACGCCGCACGGCAGTGGCGTAGCGTGGGGGGTGCAGGGGGGGCCGGCCGCACCGGGCGCAACATCTGGGGGCACGCGCTCACACTTGCAGCTCTCTGCCCCTACCTGGCTCACTCACTCACTCTCACTGCCTTGCCCAGGGTGCTGACAACCCATGCTACGCCACTGCTGCACGGTAACCCCCCCCCCCCCCGGGACCAGCACACCATTTCTCAATCAGGAAAAAATGGCAGAAATAATATTAGGTTATGTTAAGCTGCACATACTTTGATTAAATACAGTTTTATAACAGCCTTCCCCAATGTGGTGCCCTACATATTTTTTTGACTACAGTTCCCATCAGCCCTATCCAGTATTCCAACAACATTTGGAAGACATCAGGTTGGGGAAGACTGTTATCCGATTGGGGCTGGACTAACTGACCTTGGAGTCACTTCCAACCTTTGATTCTACAGTTGTAAGTCTGGAGTCTGGAGGAGGTCTGCTAAACCGCTCCCGGCAGCTTTAAAACAAACAAACCCCCAAACACTTTGATTTTCATGCAATAATTCAACATGAATGTTTGACTCATTTCCGTGATTTTAACTGATTGCAGAAAAACTGTTCACAGAATATAGCTTGTGTGCAGACTGGTACTATACCAAATTAGCTGGGGTTCCCGGAGCTCTGAAGCATGTGGTGTCCTTTAGCCATTTGCTCCTTGTTCTGCTGCTGTTGGCTGCATGAACTGGCTGAAAGGTCTATCAAGAGATGAAGCTTTTTTTATACTAAGCCGTGGACCAGCACATCCTGCCCTGACTGGCAAAGAGCCACCATGACCTCAGACCTGCTTCTTCAGATCCTGTTTTTTTATATAAAAAAGGTCCCTATATTCTGTACACTAGGGGTAATATGTTGTCACTGAGGCCAAATAGGTAGAGATACTTGAGAAATGTGACAGCCAACATGATGAT